ATCAGAAAACAAACTAAACTTGGCTCTTAGCTTTCGCTGACTTAGACGTGATGTGGTTTTTAAGAAATCGTAGCTCATTATTTCGTTTCAATTGTGGAGTTTCTTTATTTTCCGTTCGTTAAATGAGGAACGTTATAACCTTACCCGTAGCAGCAGACCTAAGTGCTCACTAAAACTTGATGTTATAAAAAAAAGTAAATACACATGACAATTTTGAGGAAATATTTTCGTGAAAATCTAACAGAAATAATTAAAATTAGTCTGCAGGTTTGCTCCAGCGAGGATATTGTATTATTTATCTATATACCAATACACTAATATTACTACATTGCTTTCCAATGCAAACAGTTAAGAATACACGTACAATATTCAATTTCCAACTAAAACTAAATTTTATAAATGTAAAAAGTAAAGTTTACAGATAAGTATTAAAATATAATTGCAATTCCGTTAGTAAATCATATCAAAGGACAAAGTTACAAAAAAAAATTGTAGGTTAATCCCATATGCCTTGCGTAATGCATTCAACTGAGCATATTTCGACATACTTTTGTTATGAATTTGAGTTTAAAAATTATTTTACAGAGAAAGATCAGCTTATAAGGCACAAGCGAGTCTCATTAATAACGCTGCTGTAAGGACAGTAATGAAAAATTACGCCCTTGTATGCTTACTGGCCAGACTGCCCGCTCTAGCACAAGCTTTATTACTTTGTACAGGGCTCAATTGGAGGCTTTTACTCAAAACGCATAAGCTTACTTAAAACATCGATATATAACTACGTAGTTATGTATCGATGACCTAAATCGGATAGTAAGCGTACTGTATATCTATTTAGTTGTAACTAGCTGTACCCACGGGCTTTGCCCCGTTTAACTTCATAAGTATTCGCATGGCTCAATCACGTCCCGGTTGATGATCGTTCGCTTCGCTCACTCACTTTTAGGTTGGAGCTCGTTCGCTGCGCTCACTTGTTTTCAGGTTAGCTCGTTCGCTACGCTAACTCGCCTCCAGGTTGATGTTCGTTCGCTACGCTCACTCACCTTTTGTTTGCATATTAGCTGTTGTTATAAATTTTAAAAAGTCATCCCTTTTATTGTTTATAATACTTTGATAAAGGTTTTTATTTTTTAATATTTAACATTAGAGATTGGGGTTTAATACATTTGGACGTGTTCAAAAGTAAAATAGTTTTCTGTGCTGCACTCTGTAGAAACACTGTGGCATTATTTCAAATCATGACTAATGCTAATACAGAATGTTGTAATCATTCAAACCTACAAAACAGTTGGTGAAAGTAAACATCTGCTTTTAAATTATATTTATTTGTAAACATTGTAGATCAAAAAGTCTGACATTGGCCCACTTAAAACCCTCTGGGGCAGAGCCCTTTTGACAGATCTGCACCAAACTTCACTCGAACCATCCTTGAAAGATGCTTAATAATGCCTGAAAGTTTCATTACAATCTGTCGAGCGGTTTCGGAGTCCATAACGTATATACATACACACACACATACATAGTTCCTCTTTTATAGATATAGATTTTTCATAGGTGGTTTTGTAGAGTACAACTATACAACATTAATGTACCCACGTATGTGACATTAAACACAATCATAACAAGCTTAAGATTTCGCAATGGAATAAAAGGTTAACCTCCACTGTACATAGTCAACGCACTGTAATTCCTAACAATAGTTATTCAATTTTTTTAAATATAATTAGACTAAGTTAATTAATAACAAACAAAATACTATTTATTCGTCTTTTGTCCACTTACACCGAAATATGTTGTAGGCTTTATATTTTACACAATGTTTTTATTCAAAGAGTGTGAGACCGTGTTTTCTCTAGAGGATATTCATTAATGAACGACACAAAATCAATCAGCTGATAATTGCCTCTGTTGTTAATGAGACTGTCTGATTGGTTTAATCAACTGAGATTTTTTCATGGCTTTTAGTTAACAATACTTGTAAATTGAAAATAAGCAATGGGGATTGATATACCACATTGTTCAGTGTATAAAATTGAATTGAATTCTACAAATTATCAAAAGTAGTGTGTTAAAAATGTTGTAGTCAAAATATAAATGTTATTACACGAAGTAGTACAATAGCACTGTCTTATATTTATAAATATTTCTTGGATATTTCAACAAATACAGGGAATAAACCTTATGCCTTTTTAATGACCTTTTTTAAACAAACTTACGTCGACACCAGCGATCAGTGTTACCGGACATGTACTAGACACGAAAAACGAGCTTAAAAATTTTCAATGGGATGAAAATTCTACTTGTTGGTTAGTCTATGATAGTAGGTACCTATTTATTTTTCTCAACATATTAACAGATTAAAAAAATTAAAAGAGAGATCTTTAAAATTGAGTATCACACTCCCTACAACCAAAAATAACTAACGATGATAGAATATTTAACCCTACTATTCTCACGAATAAAAATAAAAAGTAATTTAAAACCAATCTTGCAATATACGTAAGTTTAAGGCTTTTGAACATAGTATGTAAGTAGAGAAGAGGAAATTGAATACTTTGATAAGTTCGGGATCCTTTCACCTTTGTTAGCTTAGCAGGATATGTTTGTCAAAAACATGTACGTCAACTTGTCTTTAGTTTTAGACCGAGCAGTCAGTCAGCAGTCTAAGCCTTGGATTAAATTACCCTTTTTGATACAGTACTTTGGTATCATACCGACCACACTTAACGGTCACACCTATTAACCTAACCTAAGTGTGTCTAGGTTGTGTTAGAAAGATGTTCTTTACAAATTAAAATCTTTTTGGAACTCAGTTTATCGGTGTGGTTGGTATAATACCAAAGTACTATCTAGGTATTAATTAAATCACAATTAACTCTTATACTGTTGGAATACATACCATGAAACGTATTTTTTTAAATAATTACGCTTACTAGGAATCAAATTAAGGATGTAAACAATGTTCAACCGTGTATTAAGAAACTTTAATAGTTGGCAACGTTGGTCTCATAACAAAAGAAGAAGAAAACTTTAGAAAAAGTAACTGGACGACTGTAGATTAGTCTTACACCTTATAAATCAACTATCCTTCTTATTTAATCAGGTAAAATCCCCCCTCCCCCAAAAAAACTAAATAAACATATCTATGTTAAAACTGTATAATAAACCTTACGATTCAGTAACCTATTTTTCCCCTTAAAAGTAGGTGTGATTGTTTATTTCTGATCAGTAGCTCGAACATCTAATGTATTTTTATGTTGGTATTTAGTTTTCATTCTTCTCACAATGCTGTGTGTGTTCAATGCTGCGAATGTTGCATATTCAATATCTGGTTAATACTTCGTTAGTATGCCTGATGAGTAAACACAAGATAAATTGAGCTTGCTGAATCAGTTAAAACCACATTACTAAAATGGAAACAATAGCAAAGCCATAGACACTAGAAATCTTTAAATTGTGTGGATCCGGATTTTTTCTACGAATCACACATAAAAATTTTAAATATATTCTATCACAATAAATCTGATGTGCGTTTCAATCCTATAATTGATCACATTATTGTAAGGGTCAATCCAAAGGTTTTAAAGAAACATGCTTGCCGATTAATACATAGATTAAATCTGTTTATATAAATCACCATTTTGTTTCAACACGATAAGTTTTCCTCGACATGGAAATATGGACTCCCAACTTGGCCGTCAACAATAACAAGCGAACAAGAACAGTTGTTTGCCTTCTTGTTTCACAACTTGTACCATTTGTTGGAGAATTTAATTGAATGGAACTGAAACTGACGGCTTTAATACCCGGACCTATTATTATGGAAAAGGTTTCAGCTGAAAAAATAATTTTAAAAACATTTCTAGATGAATACAAAACTCTAAACGACATGTGGACGTTATTTATTATAAATGTTAATATTCCAATAACATAATTTGATTAATTTATTTAACAATGATACAATGTTATGTAAAATGGTCGACATAGCGTGTAAAACCAAATACAACAAGTTTCTGTTTTAGCAAAATTAATCAAAGCATTAACTTTAGAATTTTTGTAGTCAATGAAAGCAACGTAAATGCAATTTAAGAGTATTAATTGAAATTTCTGATAATTGTTATGACATAGAAATATAGTGTAAATCTATGTCCCTGTTACATTTTTACTGATATATTATGAGGCTCTAAGATTTATTCTATAACTTTGGATCCCGCGTCTCTCTCTGGTTCAAACTGTCCACCGTGCTTAAATTAAATTCCTTCTTTGATAAATATCTCGCTTTACAGCCATTACTTATATGAAATAACAAGAGCTTTCATAGGTTACATACTTTATACTTATACTTTCTTATGAAATGGCGACCATACTATGTAGGTATTTTAAGCCAAGTATGAATGGAGATGAGTGTAGGATGAGTGGCGCGATCTTGTAGTCTTGTTAGAACCGTCTATAACACAATATTAAGTAGGTATGGTATAACATACAAAAATTTACTAACTTAATAATTAATTTTTACCAAACAGCTTAGGGTAAAATAGAAACTATACTAAGTTTGCTTATCAATAGATCAGTATAGTTTACATTTAGTATTTATTCCAAATTTTTACGGGAAATTTAAAATTCAAACGTTTTCTTTTTGGTGTATATCATGTTTAATGCATATAATTATTTAGTTAAATACGATATAGTGATATTCATAACTAAAAATAAATAACTGTTTTGTAACGTATTACATTTCAAACATACCATTGAACATAAAAGCAGTGTCCAATAATCGATGATATTTGTTGTTTCAGTTCATAATTCACTACATTTTACTTCACTTTGTCCTTGTCAATAAAATAACACATGTATGTAATTTAAACCATCTGTGTTATGATACATATTTATTTTCCAACTCGTTACTCGTTTGATAATTTTCAACTCCTTAAAGTTATAAATAACTCATCTAATAACTAAAAGTGACTGCTCACGTATTACTAAATTGTTACTTAAAAGATTACCTAAATAATAACTAACATTTTCAAAGATAAAAGCAACTCACTTATTACTGTATAGCTTTTGTAAACGTCTTTAAGAAATGGCTAGGAAAATATCAAAGGCAAAGGTTTCCGAACAGATAGAAAGGGATGAGGAACAAAAAAGGATAAAAAGAAAAGCAATTGATGAATTGGAATTGCGAAGATTAACCAGACAGGCTAGGATGATGAAGGAGGCGAAACTGAAAGATGCTTTTGTAGAAAAGAATAAGTAAGTATAAACAAGTAGGTAAGTAGCTACATTACGTACACTTATGTTGTTAGTTGTCCAGTACTTCAATTAGGTTGTTCTTTTTTGTATTAACATTTATGGATACTAAAAGGTAGGCCTACCGGTTGGAGTTCCAAAATGTGGACCCTCCAAAAGTGTTTACTTTTCAATGTTGATTCTTTCATTACGAGTTTTACTTTCTTTGTGCTCATGGTCTTACTGGCTATAGTCTGTATGATGGTACCTGTCTCCTGGTCCTAAGTCTGCATTGACCTGGCCCGGGCTTTTAACCATTGGCCAGTTCCCAGACTTACGACGTATCATGAGACACGTTCCATCATACAGGCTATAGGCCTGGCTCAATCCTTTCAAGGATACTACTGTATAAATACATTCATGAAAACTTAACTCTTGAAAGTAATAAAATCCTTTAATTTGATAATTTTGTTATGGAATTAGAGTAGGACTAAGTTAAAAATATGATGGTAATAAGTACATTTACAATTATTTCAGGAAAGTTAAAAATATAATAATCAAGGAAAATGACGACTTGCTGGACAATCTAAGTTTGATGAAGTCCAAAAGGCGATGTCTGGTCGACACAAAACAAGCACAAAACATTGCAAATCTTTTCGCACAAGGGGTCTGTATACACAAGTATAGTGTACTTTCTATTGTTAGCTACCTGTAAATCAATCAATAGGCTGTAAAAACTTGATGTCGTCAAAAGTCTAGTGCCACTGTTCACATCATAAAACCTTGAGTTGTTGTAAAATTGATGTTTGAAGTATCGTAGTTGGTTTAGCATTGAAGGTTAAGTAAAATAATTTCCTACAACTATCTTACGTATATTAAATTAATTGAACTTAACATGGCTATGTAATGAAACTGTTACTTTGATTGTTTTGTATCTATTACCCCAAGATATAAAAGAGTAAACATCTATTTAACAAAATATTTAATTGGTAATTCAATTGAGTTACAGTTACAATGTAGACTTTTTATTGTATTATTTAACAAAGCTTTGATTCATTTCGTAAAAACAGTATAATTTTACTGAATAGTATTGCTTATGTTTAAGGGCCTATCCAAGGCGATATGCACCGTATATGTTTAGAATCGTTCTCTGTAGGTTTTATTTACGAGTATTATAATAATCATAAAAAAAAATTCTAACCATTTTCTAATGTTTGTAGATTTTCCACATTCACACCATAGAAGTTAATAGTACTACTTCTTCAATACTGTTAACTTTAATTCCCTAATAATGAGTATTGAAAGTTATTCAAAATGCTAATTTACTCACGACAAAAAGAAAATCAATGACATCAAAAGTAACTATATAGCAAACATAATTCAACTGACAACTAATTTGATCAATGTTCCATAGGATGGCCTGGACGCTGCCATTGCTCAAGAGAAGGACTACATACGAGACTTGGAGTCTCAGATACAGAAGGATACTGTGAACGTCCAGTCTGTCAAGAGGACGAAAGGAGCTAATGTGGTCATCAGTGAATATATGCAGAAAAGGGAGAACGAACGAGCCGCGAGAACCTTGGAAGCCTGGAACTCAAGACTGGCTGCTGTGAGTAGTGTTTGTTGGTTAGTCCTATAGTACCGAATCTCAAAGCATCGAATGCAAAATAAGTCCCAAACCACCGAATCCCATAGCTCCGAATCATTTTGGTGATTTAGGATGATTTTAAAACTACCCCATCCCTTGGTGTTAATGTTAATAAAAAAGGTTAAATTACCTGATGTCCCCAAATTAATCGTAGCAATTATCCTTTAGGGGAGATTTCGATGATTAAATCACCATCGCCTGTCCTTATACAGCATAAGATCTTGATAATTACTGACGATGGTGATTTAATCACCGAAATGCAGCTCCTTTAAAGGATAATTGCTACAATCAATTGGTGGGTATCAGGTAATTTACAGGTAATTGTTGTTGTTACAGCAGCGCAACAATTGAACAAAATCCTTTTGGTTCCATGGTAGGAAAGTTTTTACATGAGAATTGATTTTCTACTTCAAGGTAATGATTAAAGTAACCGTACTATCCGTACAGCAATGATAATTCACCGTGTTGTATCCTCATTTGTAACGTCTAGCAGATACATTGTGTCTATGCTGCAAAGATCCGTCCACTAATCTACATATGATATTCACTTTACAGGAACAATCTCAGCTGGCGTCGACAATAAATGAAAATAAAGAAATGCGAGCTAAGCTGCAACAGCTGTTGAAGCAGAAAGGTCAATTCAACAAACTGTTTGAAGAACTCATGGCGAAACTGAACAAAGGTAAACGAGTGATGGCGGAAATCGTCGAACAATCCCGGATAGAGTTCCAGAAGAGGTACGTTATTACACTTTAATATTTTAATATGTTTTGGGTCAGTAACTTCAAATAAGGGGTCAATATAAGCTAAATATGAATTCAAGATGTATAAGGGAGTGGGATATGTGTATCTTTATTAGTGACTAAGATCAGCTGTTAAATAAACTGTTAAGCTGTGATTAGCTAAGTAAACTTGTGAAACTTTTTACTTTTTCCAAGGGATGAAGTGTCCAGGAAGATCGAGGCTCTCAAAAATCGAGACAAGGCAGATTTAGTCAAGAGGATGGAGGAAATGCAGAATTTGGAGAAGAAGTTTTATGAAGACCAAAGACTGGCAGATTTTAGATCTCGGGTATGTTACATGACCTAAAATGTAATATTGCCTACTTATAGTCTGTATGATGTTTTAACACTTTGAAGATTCGTGAAAATCGCCCAGTATGTGCAATTTTGTTTGTTTTTACTATGGTAATAGACCGGCCAATGCGACGTTGCCATACAGAAACGCTGCTGGTTGTATAAGAGGAGGGGCTATGTTTTAAATCAAACCTAAAGGTTTAAACCAAGACTAATAGGATTTGAAATTATGAATAAAAAAATATTTCTTTAGTAAAAGTAATTGTCATTCCCATCCTCAGGTACAGTTCGTGAGGGAGAAACTAGTGGACGGAGTACGCAAGAGCAACAAAGACACGGTAGAGCAAGAGAAGTTGACTAAGAGGTTAGAAATGGCGAACGAGTTGTTGGACCTACTAAAAGAGACGACTGGACTCAACACTAGTGATGAAATATATAAAAGTATAGTCAACGAGGAGTCTTGTCTCTTCAGCATGTTCAACTTCAACAACGAGATTCGAGATCAGGTAGATCAAACTGAATACATAGATTTAGTCAGTACTTCAACACAAGATCCTATGCCTGTGTGATTGAACCTATCACCGGACCCTTCCCCACCTGAGACTGGCCCGGGCCTTGCATTGGCTAGTTTCCTAGTACCAGGTGGTTTGGGGACAGATTCGATCATACAGAGTGTAGATATGTATAAGTTGAACAGGAATAGGTTTTAAATGTTTCTCATTTGCAGCTGGAGGTTTTGACCCAGAAGACGGTAGATGTAATCCGAACGGTTGACGACGAACAGATGATGGCAGAAGAGCGAATGGAACAAGAGCTAAAGTAAGAACAAGTCTAAGTCATAGATTTGTTCTAAGTAGTCTTCACTGTTGAATTTAGTAAACGTACAAAAGTAGATTCAAACCATTAAACACTACCCCTCTAATGCGAAAAAATCTATCTCATTTCTCGTGTTGATTCCAAAAAGGTTTAATATTTCAGTTAACTTATTTACTTCTTGCTAGTTATAGCTTTTTTTAATAATATTTTATGTCAATACAGTGGATATCCCTGATGGCAAACTCATCAACATTGATCATCTTATACAATAAATAAGCTGAATTATTATAGCTACTAAGAGTTCATAAACTAAATTGAGATGTACAGAACAAATCGATAGCCATATAAGGGATATTACATTCATTTATTGGGCCATATTTCGTTTATACTGTATAGTTTTTTTATTGCATCCTTTTATCAAAAAACTATTTTAGCCGTAACCAATGGTATGAATGTTTGTACGATTCTACTGATAAACATTACTATAGTTCGGCCGCTTAGAAAGCGACCTCCCCCAGCATTGGTTTAGCATTGGCGCGCAGGTCGTTTTCTAAGCGGCCGAACTATAGCTGGATACATAGACCGAAAACAAAATTCCAATTTCAAACAAGGTAATTTAAATAAAACTAATAAATACCGTATTGTGAATTTATGGATACGACTATCCTCAGTACTATCCTGATAAATAGACCAATTCGTATATACGTACCAAGACAAAAATGGGGTTCGGATTCCACTATAAACTGTAGGTCCCTTAGTTACCAAGCTATATGGACTATTTAATTAACAGCTGTGTCTAAGGAATATGTTGGCCTTAGTCTCTAACAAGACTACAAGATCGCGCCTCTCATCCTACACTCATCTCCATTCATACTTGGCTTAAAATACCTACTTTGCATGGTCGCCATTTCATTGAAAATTATTAAAAGCTTTAAAGTATGGATGCAAAAATAATTCTCAGGTCAAGAAACTCTATGGAGAGGAAACTGGAGACGTTAGAGCAGACTTATAACGACTTGGAAGATCATTACGAAGCCAACGCTAGAATGTTCAGACGGTTGCTGGACAAAACCAAAGCGCTCTTCGATTTGACGAAATGCAGGACAACCGTTCTGCAAGATCTTCTGGGTAATGCCTTTGACTAATACAACACACACAGCACCAAAATCACCGATATAAGGGTCGAGGTCGTCTTCATGAAATAAATCAACTCCGAAAATGATATAAAGCTTGTATATGTATTTACAATTTTGTACCTACCCTCTATATCTGTGACTTTGGTGGTGTGTCACTAGCACTATAGGCCTGGGGTAGTAGGGACAAGGAACATATTTCTGTACCAGGTGGTATTTTAACCTGCGGTCTCGTGTCAGAGTTCCAAACCCCCGCTCGCGTCTCTAATGAGGTTCAACCCCTTGGCAAAACCCGTTGAACTGGAAGTTAAAATCTGACCGTGTCAGGGAACCAACACACCCAAAACACTTACCTACGTCAAAGGTTCCACGTACATGCCACTGTTGCTCATGTGGATGGGCAAACACAAGGTATAAGAGGCTGCCGCTTTTTTTAAGACTTTTAATCCAGTTTAGAAATGCAATTTATTAGTTTTCTTTCGTTGATACAACCTTTGAGTTGGATTGTTTTGTAAGCTATACTAATTCTATGGCACATTTATAGTTGTCTCCCAATGTCTTATTCCTTCCTAGAATCCATTCCGGTTGGTTTTCTTGGTTGTAAAAAAAAATAATTTAATTCCATATTAAGAATATTACAATAGGATGGGTGAACATGTATGCATGTAGTCTTTGTTACATAAAATCTTAACTTATCACTATCAGCAAATCTTATTTTAATTTTCAGGAAACAACCAACAGGTGACTGAGCACAACTACAAACTCTACCTGAGCCTAGTAGAGACTGAAGTGATCACTAACTTGGAGTGTCTAACTCTCAGCTTCCCAGTGCATCATACCAGAGCTGGCCGGGCTATATCCGCCAAGACCCTCTCCGTTCGCTCCATGGCCAAGGTCAAGTCAACCATCTCCATCATCAACAAGAAAGTGGTCACCAACGCGTGCGGGGAGTGAGTATCGGCACAGCCTGTAGTCTGTAAGATGAAACCTGTCTCGTGACTCTCCGTCGATTTGGAGGCCAAGGTAGATGGAGGTGCAGGAGACAGGTTCCATCATACAAACTATGATGAGTGGGTATACCTTAAACCTAAAATGTATGACTAGGTATTCAGAAGAATCAGGTTGTATTTTTGCAGAAAATCACTGTGGTACTTCTAGGACTAATACTCTAAGAGTAATATATTACTTCTCTGTAGTGCACTCTACAGTCTGTTTCATTGAACCTGTCTACTGACCCTGCGTCTACGTGGGGACTGGCCAATGGTTTAAGGCCAATGAGACAGGTTCCATACAGACTAAGGGGGGCTTTCCTTCTCTTCAGTCCGGGTTTTGTTAAATCCCCAATGGAAGTTTGTTTGCATTATTAAGATTGGATCATGCCTCCTTGCTGTGTTGGATCACGCCTTTGAGGTCCTCATCTCAAGGGAAGACGGATATTCCCTAAAAAATTGCAAAATGTCTGTGTGTTAGGGTTCCCTATTTATCAATTATTCTGTAGCCCCGGACACAGAAGATTTCTAGTTCTATACGAAATTGCAAGATTAAGATGAAACCTAAAATAAACATGAGATAGAAAGCGACAAAAATTTAGTCATCTGTCATTTATAGGCTCTAAGTTGATCTTTAGCAGGTATTAGGTTGTCCCAAAATAGGATAAACCATTTCGTTTGAAATTATTGAAAATGTTATAACTATCAGTGACAAAGAAACTACATGAATTATGAAAAACTTTAACGTACAGTAGTAGGGAAAGGAGAAGAGAGTAATAAAACAACTAAACTAGAGGGAGGACGTAAATGGAGGTGCATAAAGTTTCATATTATTTGCGATACGTAACCTATAATCTGGTGATAAATTCAACAAAATCTACCTGAGGCTAGATTACACCCTCTTAGTGTTGTATTTCAGCAAGCAGATATCTATTGCTTGCATATTGTTACAAGAAAGGTGATTTTATCATATACATTTTGTAACATGCTCAATGATAACTGTGGCAATTTTCAGATGTGAAGGTACAGTGAGGCCGAAGTGGGTGTGAGAGTATTTTGGTCCGAGTCCCTCCTCAGACAGGAGACTGTTTACTTATCCGGTAGAGGATTTTAGACAACGGGCTTCAGACGGAATAGAATCTGGCTGAAAAACAACATTGGCTACAGTCAACACAAATTCTTCAAATAAAGGCGCTTCAATAAAATGTTTGGTGTTTTATACTTTTTGCGAGTATCCTGACATATCAAAAAGCTCATACCATATGGCTAATGCAACGTTTAAGCCAATTAATTATGATTTGTAGGGGAGGGTAGTAAGAGTATATTTAATGAATTGTCTAGCTTTAAAACTAGCTGATAAACCATCATCGAGTCGATTTATAGACTACAATCATTTCTAAAAAATATTTCCAATTCTTACATTATCAACAATCATATGTTGTACTAATTCTACTAAATAGGTTCTTAAAGATGTTCTTAAAGAGATTCTTAAAGATGGAAGAGAAGAAAGAAGTCACCATAAAAGTGATAAAAAATTATGAACCTCTCTCACGGAAGTTAATTGTTTTAGTAAAATGTAATAGACATACCATCTATATTATTAAACTGTTGCCAGTTTTTGAGCTATGACAGTCTGATGATGAGCATCCCAAAAGTGGCAACGTCGCAGTTCCGGCCTGCCAAAACAGCTGTTGCATAATGGAACGTCTGCTTAGTATTTGTTTACATGTTTGTTATTGCTATGACATGAGGCCGCCGTTGCGACGTTGCCACACTGCACACGCCAACACCGTGGGCTCGTATTTTTGTAATAAAGCGAATTAATATTTTGATTCCATCACCCTTTTAGTTTTTAACGTACTATAACAGTGGTTGGATGCATTTTCTGTTCAATAATTTAGTAATAACATGGGAATGGTGTGTCCAACAGTGTGGTTTTTAAAAAGTGTACGTTTATAAAAAAACATCACACTCTGATATCCTACAAAAAATTGAATTCGAACTCAGGAAAAAAACAAGTTGATTTATAAAATGGCAATATCTTTAATGTGTTATCCGTGAAACGTAAACTTGGTAAAATATGATGTCATTGTTGTCACTCGAGGAGTTTGAGGAAGTCGGAGAACTTTGGGATATTATATTTCAACACTTGTTTGGTAAATTGTTTGGAAACAGCTCTCTTTTCCTTCTTTGAATCCTAAATGTGAGTAAAAGTGTTTCTTTTTTATTGTAAACCCTTGAAGTACCTTCTTATCGGTCAAGCTTAGCTAAAAATTTTAAAATGTGAGTCTTTGTAGATTTGTCTTTTTTTCTGCCTAGAAATCACCATATTTGTTATATTTGTATTGCGACTAAGAATAATGTTGATCTTATCTGATTTACTGTTTTAATAAGTATTTCTTTATTTGGTCTATTTGTTGGATCTATTTTACATGCGCTCTGATAACCTAAAAAAGTTATAATACAAAATAGTTCAGAATTATTTGCGATTAAACCACCAATGAATGAACCAATTAGTTTATTTGTAAGATGTATTATGGTTGGTTTTGAGGGTTGGACTAGTATATAAAAGTTTCCCCTTATATATAAAAAAAATACCGGGTGTCCCACAAAGGGGTTTAAACGTTTGATTTTATATTACGTGCCCATTCATACACTTCATACACATTCATACACCGAACTTTTTTAAACTTTACACAGTTTACAAAGTAGGTTCTAAAAATATTCTGGAAAAATTTCAACTCCCTAATCTTAGTAGAAACAAAATAGTGGCATATTGACAAATTTACCAATCTGCTTTCTATAAAAACTACTTTCATGATTTATTATTAGTTATTTATTTATTATTATTATTTATTAGTTATTTGATTTATTTTTAGTTTTCCGTTAGGCTATGTTCTAGTTTTTTTTTTATTTAAAGGTCATATTGCCCTTGAAAGTAACAATAAAAATATTTTATAAAACCAAAAATACCTTTTTTAATGTTTTTGAAGTAACGTTTTTCAATATGCCACCATTTTATTTCTACTGAGGTTTGGGGGTTGAAATTTTTACAGAATATTTTTAGAACCTACTTTGTAAACTGTGTAAAGTTTCAAAAAGTTCGATGCATGAATGGGTGCGTAATATAAAATCAAACGTTTAAACCCCTTCGTGGGACACCATAAAATCCAATGTATGTTTGTTTGTATGTATGTTTGTTTGTTTGTTTGTCCTTTATGGACTCCGAAACCGCTTGACAGATTGTAATGAAACTTTCAGGTATTATTAAGAATGATTCAAGGATGGTTTGTGTGAAGTTTGGTGCAGATCCACCAAAGGGGCTCCACCCCAGTGGCTCTGGAGTTTCCCATGTTAACCTAATGAGTACTCATATTTAAATGGAATTAAAGATTCTTAACAGCTGGTTCAACTAAAGAGTTTAATTCTGTGATGTTCAATAGCATTAAAAAGTTAGTAGGTTTACCAACAGGATACAGCACTATTATTTTTTTCAATTTATGACAACAGCTAATTTGCAACCAAAAGGTGAGTGAGCGTAGCGAACGAACTTCAACCAAGACGTGATGTAGCCAAGCGAACGTGCTCATCTTGAAAATGAACGAGCATTTGACATAAAACCACATTAGGACAGGACGACGTATGTCGGACCAGCTAGTACAAAATACAATATACTGATAAATATCAGATAAGGTAAATATGTATCCTCCGGTTTATTAACCTGTCAGTGAGGCTGTGAAGTTAAGCCTTGTCAGGATAATATTAAGGTCATTGGCTTTCACCTGAAAGGTTTATTGTTAAACTATAAAAAAAAGATTTTCTTTAGCTACTAACAATTTAAATCGATGATCCTTATTACCTTCAAAACACAATTTAATTTTAGACACCTAGTATTTGCATAATTGTTTATTTTTATGTTCAAAATACTTAGTTTTTCACGTGAATATCAACGGTATTATAACAACCGACCGAAATGAAACAAAATTGTAAAGAAACGGAGAAAACCCAATTGAAAATAAGAAAACAAACCGTGGAGAATGCCTAGAAATCGCATATTTGTGGGTGATAGAACCTAATGTTTTGCAACGTGCTTATGGAAATCTGTTTACGAAGGAAGAAAACTTTGAAAAATATGACTCTACTTGGGCCATTTCTGCTTGGGAAGTTGGGCCAGAATATCGGCAACTGTAATAAGAAGTCCTTTGTTTACTAACTTTACTGGGGAAATGATAATGAGTCAATTTGTTACCTAAGCCTAAGTAACTTTGTACAATCTAGTTCACTAATATCAATTCATACCCAAAGATGAATTAATTTAACTTAAATCAAATATGTTATACGATGGAATAGTAAAGTTTCAGTTGTAGTTAATGCAACTTATTTAAAACAGCTAGGTATGCAGATTTTAGGATGGGTTTGCTGTTTTTGTTTTGTTTTACAATAAAGGTGTTTGATGACCGATTCTTTATCATAAGTGTTTAATATCTGGGTGTTATTATAGTTTTATTTTTGATGGGGATTCCCCATAAAACACAAAGGATGACGGGAAAATCAGATTTTCACATAACGGTTCGAACTATTTTGATTAAAATTTAGTATGCTATGGTCCAACTCTAATAAATGGTACAGCCCCCAATGCTATAGAAATGGCGGTTAAAAAAGCTATTGTAATTTCTTTCTACAGTAGAAATAAAGAATGCTCCAGTTTGCTGATAGTGTTATTTATGCAAATTTTAGTTTCATCACTCACTATTGGATCTTGCAGAATCATCTCGTCTATAAGTTTCTTCTTTTAGATTAGTCCTTCTCCAAGATCATCTGATTACTAAACAATTTGTTTTTAGTTGTTATACAACTTCAGATGACCAACCACTCTTTTTTATCCTTCTTCAACACTTTTCAAATCTTCTTTTCACACTTACATCCCGATTTGTTTACTTCCATTGAAATTGTTTAACCTGAGTATGAGTACTTCAACTTCGTTTCTCAAATAATACTTCGTTCACAATATTTAGGTGGTTTGAAGGGAAGATCCCCACCGCGTTTTTGTATTTGATGTATGTTGCCTTATCATCTGTTGAGCTATTATTTTAAAGGTATGGGTCAAGTCAAGGCAAAAGTAACTGTTGTTGCCTTGGTCAAGTGGAGGGGATAAATTTCTTCCCCTAAAACCACCTAAATATTGGGAACGAAGTATAGCACTATTATTTTTGAACTGGAAAAACAGCTGTTACGGTTATTAGTGACGTCATTTGTTTATGTTTACGATACATAAAATGTTTCTGTTCTAATATCCATCCAAAATGTTGACGTTAAGCAACAAGTCTTTGAAAATTGTGAAAAATAGTAAATAAAAAATAACAGCATAAAAAATATGAATCAACTGTTACTAACCAACCCACATTCAACCACCAAACACCGCACCACCATTGCAGCACATTTCTCTGACCTCACTTAACCAAGTCGTTATCACTTAGCGGGGTCAAGTTCCGCGAAACGTGACCCGTCACATATCACCAGACAAACATCACAAATCTCACGCCAGACAAATCACAGACAGGCGACGGCGGGGACCGTACTATTATTAATCCCCAGTCCGTACGCGCCCCAAAATACGTGCGAGAAGTGGCAACGCCGGGCGGCTACCACACTAGTCAGTAGTCACTCACTAGTCAGGCGGTACGATGGGTCGTGCGGCGGCCGTGTGGTGCTTTCTAGTGTTGTGTGCTCGCGCTGCCGCTCTCGAATTTTATTCGTACGGACCCGCTTACGATTCGCAACTCACACGACAAAACGACGTGTCCAGCTACGAGATATCGCTGAATGTTCCGATCAGGTTTTTTGGGGAGACGTACAACTCGATTTTTGTAAGTACGATTTTATAAGGTTTATCAGGATATGAATGTGTTGGTTGCAATTATTTTGTGTCATCCGCAGTTAGTTTCCAAAAGCAATTTGATTGTTTTGTGGGTAGCCTGTGGCATGTGTATATAACGCTATATCAACAGTTGTTTAAGTCCAGCAACAGTACTTTGGATTTATAATTTACAAAGAGTTTATAATAATGTAGACAAATGTGTATACCCGTTGATATACGACCGTATATGAGGGTTTCAGAACTGAAACCAGTGATGTAATGTAATAAGTTTTATTTTTTTTTAATACCAGTATAGTAGGGAGTTTTTATTCCCATATTATCTAATAAGTACGTTATTTATTTTAATTTTTCAATCAAATAAAATATTTCAGACGTGTTTGTTGTTGTGCTTCAATACGATCCTTGGGTTCTTCCGTTCAAATTGAGTCTCTAATGTAGGTTTGTTGATATAAAATCTTAAAATGTATACTTATAAAACGAAAGCTAATTACTCAATTGTTTTCAAAAGCTGGTAGGCCTACTATGTACAGGAATTCATTTTAAGATATAAGTAGGTTAGGTTTCCACATAAATCCAGTAAATAAAACGTAGAATATATTTATGAAACATTAGGAACAAATAGCAATACATGTAGTTGTTTGTTTTCCTTCGAAATTATTCATATTTATGCTTCTAATGATTTAATCAATAAAAAACTTAAAGATCCAACGTAATAATCATAGAGGGGCAGGCATACTTTAACTGAAGGTTTAAAACCTTAGCACTAATTTAACTATAGTTCTTAGGGCCATTTTATTTGATTTGTATACGCTGACAGAAAAAAACTTCATGAATTTTGGTGTAATAAGTTAAAAAAATAATAAGATTTTGTTTTATCTGTAGATAAAAACATATATAAACAAATCACTGTACCTAGTTCAGTACCTATTTGAATGGTGACACACATCTTTAAACCACTATACACATGCTGTAAGTAAAATAAAGAAAATAAGCATACATTTCATCACAAATGTAAAATTTACCTGACAAACCTAATTTTCATCATATTTATCACAGATTGTAAAATTGTTCATTATTACCTTATTCATTTGTAATAGTTTGATAATTTGGAACGCTTATAATTACAATGGAGTGTATTTCATTCAACCCATGTGTCCAAATTAAGGGTGTTTAATGTGATAAGTTAACAATACTAAAAAAAACTGGTCTAGTGGATTCTCCACAGCAATAAAAAGTCTGAGGCTCTTTCACGGGAAACTGACCTTTAGAAGGAATCCCATTGTTGGTAGCTTCTTTGATGCACTTCTCTTTCGTTCCCCCTCAACCCCCCTCGACAGTTCTCTCGTTCTCTTCGCTCTCTCGCACCTACAGGTGCCATCCTGGGGCAGGCTCTTCTCTCTCGCACCTACAGGTGCCATCCTGGGCAGGTGCTCGGCGGTTTCAGTTAATGACTGCCCTCCTGGAATCCACAAAGAAACAAAAACCCCTCAGAAACCCCTCAAATCCGTTGACCATGATGCACTCCCTTGGTTTTGCTTTGTTAAACTATTTATACATTGCTAAACAGCTGATCATATTCGGAGATAAAATTGAGATAAAGTCATAAAGGTGGGTACTCTAGGAAAACATTTAATAGGTGCGATTTTGTCACACTTTAAATGCTGTACAAAATTGAAGACTATGGTAACTTCTGTGCTGTAAAATGAAAATTAGGATCAACAGAGTATTTGTTGATCACATAAGCTTCTATTATATTTTGTTTCCTACACTGGAGATGAATTTTAAGTTAAGCTTCAAACCACTAAACACTAGATATTATCGCACATCCATTATCCATCGGTCATTGGCGGGATTTGAACTCGTAATCGTTAAGCCAGAAGTCCCACTCTCTCACAACACCAGTTGCGCCCCTAGCTAATAATAAACTCAGTATATTCAATGCATGATCACCATAAACTGCAACATTGTGTAAAACTCAATGTTTATTGCCCGGCACTGAACTAGTTGGCTTTATAGCTCGATGGCAGGTGTAAAGCCTCTAACTCATCTTACGACCTGTTCTATTCATACAGGCACAATGTGTGTACAAAATAACTTCTCTCGTAAAATCTGCAGCGTTTTGTTTGCCTCGAGTATATTTTGTTGTCTTGGTTTTATTTCAGAAATTATATTTCAGGTAAAATGTTGGTGTAAGGCCCAATCCGACACATGCCTTTTCCCATTAGCTTGTCAACCATCCTTAAAATTGGTAAGCGGTGAAAGTAACAATGATATTTCATCGGTGAAATCGCGAAATGTACAATAACTTCTGAACTATAGTTTTTACAGCAATTGGTATTGTACCATTTTATTTCAATGGAGTTAAACGGACTACAAAATAATAAACTTTTATAAATAGCTTTACTCGTTTTTTTGTAATAATCAATTTTTTTCGTTATGTAATGGGTTTTTATGGGGAAATCGTCATTAGAGACCAAAATTTGAAAAATATTAAAGAGAACTTTTGGATATTGGTACCCATATGCCACATTTCATCCAAAATTTTGACGAAAACAATACTTTTTTCCATATATTATGTATAGGAGAATTAAGTAAAAGTAAATACTTGGACATATAATATTGTGGTGTGAGGGTTTTAACCCATGTTTTAATTATCATAGGCGACTTTATGACGAAATAGAAGTCAGAAATCAAAATTGATTAGTGGCATACATCCATTGTGAACGCACCCAAAGTAAGGGAGGTATAGTTATGCTACACTATTTTGTGGCCAAACGTATATTTCATATTTTATATCTAGGCCTATTCTGAATGTGCATTGAAGCTGTATAAACAATTGCATTTTGTTTCGTCTATGTACAAACGTTGTGAAAATTGAGCAAAAAAATAATAGTTAAAAATGTGAAACAATCACGAATAGGTCACTGCTTAGATTTACATACATTACATATTTATACAATTTATTTTACCTCACAAATATTTGAAATTTTTGTGATTTAAAATAAATATTATAAATACAAATTTAATTCGTAATATATTTCGATTCCTAAATACGGCATTTGATATGTATTGCAATAATTTCAATCCATGGGCTTACGTTACGATGAATTTTAAAATAAAAATCTAAATATATAATATTTTTGGTACTAAGTATTTATTGTACTAATTCCTCCCAGCTTTGCAACGGAATGAGGACGCAGACGAGATTAATGTGGCCCTTAAGTTCTGTAGAAACAGTTACACATCCAACATCAATTATGTAAACAAAACCCAATGTGCGACTTAGTTTTATTAAAATGTCTTTGATTGAATTTGATAAGCTGTGTGGCAACCATAATATTTAAAAGCTGTATTGAAATGGTAAGACAAGTGTAAATAAAGAGTTATGTAATGCCAAAACTACGGGTTTTTGTTGCCATTGAAACCAATCAATATTTATTTCCAAAGCCTTCATCTTGAAATGTTGGACGTGTCGTAAGGGCAGAGTCCGGCAGAATTGTATAAACATCGATAAATCTATGTATTGGTCGAATTCGAGATTTACCTTCGTAAAAAAAAACCTCAGCCCAACCTTAGTTTTAAAACTATCCTTGAACAATTACATTCATTGAAACTTAAAAATAACCTCTACTTCAAAGTATTAAAGATAGTTAAATAAATCAATAAACCTAAACACCCAAAACATCCTAAGAACATTGAGTAAATAGAAAAACATATTGACAAAAGAAGCTATGAAAATTATACTTTAAAATGTTATGGCTCGGATATAAAGAAATCCTGAGGGAGATATCCTCACGTATCCTGGGGATTCGCAGGATGTGTTGAATCCTTGAGGATAACTCAGGAGTGTTAAAGTCCGGTTTATGCCCCGGATGTCACTCCGCACGTTCTACAGATTTATTACGTTGTATCCAATGTGGTCGAACGTTTCCCTTACGTTAACCCGTGTTTTATTTTTTTTCTTACTTTATTATTAATTAACGCTGGATAAAACTGAACTAGATTTTGTAAAACCTTTTGTACAAGCAAATTTGGGTTATTGTATAAGATAAAAAATATGGACGGAAGCATAATTTTTATGTTTATAGAATGCATCATGAAGTATTAAAATATTTCCACTTATATACTTTAACAAAATAATTTAAAATACTTTATATACTTTAACAAAATAATTTAAAATACTTTAACAAAATATACATCGTCTCTATGGTCGTAATCCTGTATTTATTGTAAATAAAATTAGGAATGTGTCATGCCTTGTAGAGTGTTGTCAATGGAGAAATATTGGGCATTTCCCGTTAATTCACTTCCACATGATTATCGGGGTAAAATGTTATAATCTTCATCTTCAATCATTTCTGCTTAGGGCTAGGTTAGGTTAGGTTATGTTAGGACCGAGACATAAAATAAAACAATTGGGTATTGTTAAATAAAAATTACGATTAAAAAAAAATGTTTGTATACATAGTATTGTTATTAAAGAGTATGAAAGTTCAATTTAGTTTTCTACAAAAAGTTAGTAATTTTTCGATATAAATACAGAGAAAATGCTGTACCGGTACAATTGAAGTCTCTGATCATTTGGCTTTTAATAAATGGTCCTTCTAAATGAACCAGCTCGTCATAATAACAAAGCTACACAAGATTTATCACTTCATTCTTCACCCATTCTTCACAAAAATCCAGATAAAATACGTAATATAAGCTCGGTCTTTCAATATATATTTCTTTGCAATGTTATAAATAAAATTAATTTCTAGTCATTCTAACTCAACTCATGTATACAACGATTTAAACTATTGTTTTATCAAACGAATCAATAACATTGTTATCCTATTATAAACAAATACTTCGATTATAGTTTGAAAATAAAACCATTGAATAGACTATACAAATTGTTAATGAAATTTTCGAAAGTAAAGTAGAAATTTGTGTTGAAAATACCACAATAACCGAACCCTACACATTACGAAAACTCCGGTTTCTTCC